GTCTGTCGCAGGAGCGCGCGGGCAAGCGCCTGGGCGGCGCCGGGGCCGGGGCCGGGGCAGGGTCGGCAGCGGTGCCGGCGCCAGTGGCCGTGCGCTCGGACGCCGTGTGGGTGAAGGGCGCGGGCGCCGCCTCCAAGAAGTCGCGCGGCCTCATCTCGGTGGGGCGCGACGGCGTGCCCGTGGTGACGGGCGTGCGCGTGCCCGACGACGAGGCGGACCGCACGCGCACGTGGCGCAACGCGCGCGTCATCAACAACGTGCTCGTGCCCAACGACGCCGCGCCGCCCCGGCGCCCCAGGTGAGCACGTGCGCGCCGCCGGGCAATAGGTGGAGGGAAAAGGGCACGTACTTAGGGAAAAGAGGGGCTGGACGTAGGGAAAAGAGGCTGGACGTAGGAAAAATGAGGCTTGACGTAGGGGAAAGAATAACTGTACGTAGGGAAAAGAGGCTGGACGTAGGGAAAGGAGGCTGACGTAGGGAAAAGAGGCTGAACGTAGGGGAAAGAAGGACTGTACGTAGGAGAAAGGGGGACTGTACATAGGGAAAAGAGGCTGGACGTAGAGAAAAGAGGGACTGTACGTAGTGGAAAGAGAGACGGTACGTAGGGAACAGAGGCTGTACGTAGGGGGAAAAGACTGCTTAGAGATGCAATACGCAGAGGAATGGGAACTGTACGAAGAGGGAAAAAGGAATTGTACGTAGGGTAAAGGGGAATGTAGATTGGTGAAGAGGGGCTGTACGTAGGGAAAAAAAGAAACTATGTAAGGGAATAGAGACTGCACATAGAGGTGCAGAACGCAGAGGAATGGGAACTGTACGTAGAGGAAATAGAAAATGTACGAATGGGAAAGAAAGACTGTAGTTAGAGACGCAGTATGCAGAAGAATAGGCTTATTATAAATGATGTCAACTAACTTGGACACTGTGTTGAATTTTGAAAATGACCTCAAATAGGCTCCAAAAGTTAAATATATCATGAAATAAATTGTCATAAATAACTCTCTGTTTTACGAACGTCAAGAAACTTACAATCGATAGCATACATAATAATTTTATAAACGTACGATACGGTACGAGTAGTATAAAATACGAAAAGTACGAAGAGGTTTTCAAATAATCAACTGATACTGGATTTGTTTCCCTTTGTTCATTTACTTTTTTTCTAATATTCTAAAACGTTTTCATTACGAATATAAAATTATTTGGTTAAAGCATATATAAGTTTTCTTGCATTCAGAAGTATTCAATAAAAGATAAGAGATTCATTATATATATATATATATATATA